ATCTCCATCAGTTTTGCGGCCATAACTGCTGAGGCGTGAGCTGGCGCACTGTCGTGGTGGAAGAGGACTTTTTTGTGGGCCAATCGTGGACGTTTCTCGAGCAACTCGGTTTTCAAACGATCCAATAACGATGAATAATATTCGCCTGTAATGGTTTTATCTTTTTCCAGATAGTCGATGAAGATTATTCCTTGCGAATCCCAAAAGACAGTCGCCATAACCTTCCCGGCCGAAGGAATTGTCTTCGCCTTTTTCGGAGCAGATTCTTCCTTGGTAACCCATTGTTTAGACTATTCTTTGGTCTCAGGAGTGTAGTGATGTATCCATGTTTCATCTACAGTCATGAAACGACGCTTAAAGTCTTGTGGATTTTGCTGGAACATCTGCAAACCATTCTTGCAACACTTCACACGATCTCGTTTTTGGTCAATCGTGAGCAATCGCGGCACCTATCTAGCGGATAGCTTTTTCATGTCCAAATATTGGTGCAAAATATTATGTACCCGTTCGCTCGAGATGCCTACAGTACTAGCAATCTCACGCACCTTCATTCTTCTCTCAGCCATCACCATATCATGGATTTTATCAATGATTTCTGAAGTGGTAACCTCAACAGGGCGTCTAGAACGTTCAGCATCTTTTGTGCTCATATGGCCACTCCGAAAATGTTGAAACCGCTTATAAATCATTCTAATCGAAGGTGCACAATCACCATAATGTTTATCAAGCTTCTGTTTAATCTCCTGAGGCGTTTTGCCTTTCAAAAAGTAATGTTTAATCAATACACGAAATTCTTTTTCGTCCATTTTTTACAACCACTCGATTTCTTTGATTGAAACGAATGTAAAACGCAAAGTAATTGGCCGATCTGGCTGAAACTTGGTGTGTGCTCTTCCAAGATATGCCACTAACTAAAAATAACCTTGATACGCACTAGTAGCGCCATCTCTCTGACTTTGCACGGACTTTTCAAACGACCCTCGTATGTTGTTTATTTTTGAAACCTTGTTCGATATTTAATGTTAATTGAGCTAGGTTGTCATTACAAGATTGGCCTTTACGAAATCCGGTTTGTGTATTGGGTAAAAGGTTGTTTTTTTCGGTGTACCATTGTAAACGATTTTTTATGAGTATTTCAAATAATTTGCAGCTACACGATGTGAGAGTAATGGGTCTGAAGTTTTGATCATCTGATTTTTTTATAAAGGTTACAAAACAATTTTTCCAATTGAGTGGAAATTCGTCTAATTTATAAATTTCGTTGAATATATCTAGAAAAATGATCTTGTAATTGATAGGGCGATTTTTAAGTATTTCGTAGTCTTCACCGTCAAGGCCAGGAGAAGAGCTGCTATCTCTAGAGTTGAGTGCGATATTGAATTCAATAAATTGGAATTGCTTGCTGAGAAGATTTTTTGAGCATTTTTCGGAGACAATTTGGGTCAGAAGCTGACCATGCTAGGCTGATTTTGTTAAGTACAATTTCAACATTTGATTTGTTTGTATCGTCGATAGTCTTTCGTGACTTTACTTTTACATATTTGTTTTTAAAGATTTTCATACTGTTCCAAACAAAAGTGGGATTAGTTCCAAAATCTATACCTTCAGCAAAACATCTAAAACTTTCTGTTTTTTTTCTTGAAGAGTCGTTTTGCAATTACATTTGTTTTTTATAATTTATATATTCATCTTGTTTTTTAGAAAAGCACCATTTTTTAAAAGCAGCTTTACGAAGCCTTCGTGCTTTGTCGCATTCGATTTAATTGCATTATTTATTATGTTAATAAAAGTTTCATACTATTCAGTAGCAGTTGCATTGCAGAACGGTTCTTCAAGGAAATGAGTATAGTTGTCACTCAAAGTATTTAGAAAACTTTCCCAATTAGTTCGTTTAGATTTTATTTTGAATGATTTTTTTTGAAAATTGTTTTGGAGACTGAGAGATTGATTAGAATGGGAAAATGCTCAGAGCCGTAATTATCATCCGACAAAACAGTATCAATTCTGTCAATTAGATTCATTGTAGATAGGATTAAATCGAGATTAGATTTTTTCCAGTACTAGGATTGATTCTACTATCTGTATCGGTATTATGAATAAACTAGTCTTTATTGTCAATGGAGTTTAAGAAGTGAATACCGTGTTTATTGTTTTGAGTGCAGTTCCAGTACGGGTGGTGTGCTTCAAAATCGCTGACGAAAAGGCTGTGAGAGTCTACGTTAATGTTGTTTAAAATGTTATCCCAATCTGCTTGTGTAGGATCGCTGCGAGGTTATCTGTAGCAAGTAAAAATATCCAGTGTTGGAGAGGTATTTTCAATTTTAATCCCATAAATTTCGAATTTATCGTTTGAATTGTTGATGAGAATTGGAGAGGCAGTTAGATGGTTTTTGACAAGAAATAGGATTCCTCCATCTATATTATCTAATCTGTCTAGTTCAAATGCTTTGTAGCTGGAGATACCAAGGTAATTTTGAGTTGTGATGTTTGGTGGTAGTGTTAGTGGTTTGAGCCAAGTTTCAACACAAATAAAAATGTCTCTTTTCTCGAGTATTTTGCTTAGCTCTGATATCCGTTGATATTACTGCATGCGTTCCAAAAGAGGATTTTTAAATCTTTATTATATGTAGCCATTTTAGAAGTAAACAACTACGAAGAAAAAATTTGACGTTGTGCTGGAACTATTATGATTGAAAGAATTGGGGTGATAAACTTCTGTAATGAGATGGTTCTTTTTTGTTCATGTCGACATCTCCTGTATCTTCTTCGGAGCCGCATTCATCTGTGAATGATTCCGAAACATCGCTTTTGTTGAAAGAATCGTCAAGTTTTTGATGGTTTATTTTATTTTTTATTTTGGTAAGTCTGATTTTTGTTGCTTTTTCAGTTATCATTGGATAAGCTTCTTCTATTATTTATGTGATATTTGAAATATCATCTGAAAGTGTTTTGGCTTCAGTGATAACATCCATTTTATTGTCGAAGTTTTTAACGAAATTAACGAACGTAGCGTAATTGATTGGAAGTGTTTTGTCGTTTTCAAAAATATCAGCTGTTGGTTTGAGAGACTTTACTAAAGCTGAGTTTCTGACTTCAGTTATTTTAGCTTTCGTTTCTGTAGTTACTTTCCTTCTTTTCAGTATTTTGTTCTCAACTTTTATGAGTTTCTTGGGTTTGACAAATGTATTATCCTCAGAGTTGTTATTTTCTACTTCTTGTATTTTTTTGTAGTCTGAGATGGTACTGCCAGTAGGTATGGAAATCGAGCAATTAACCGATAATGGACGTTTGTTTTGAATTTTATTTTCATCATTATCTAGTACAGGTAATTCTTGTGTATCTACTAGAGCATGATTAGGTTGTGTGGATAGCGATGGATCATCGGTTGTTGTTGGTTGTGTGTTTACAGTAGTTATAGAGAAAGAGGAATATGGTGAGCCGTTAACAGGTACAACAGGCATACGAGGCGTTCTTTCGTTGTCTTGTATATGTATGGTAGGTGTTTTGATCTTTTTGCATTTTTTTTGTTCGTGGCCTAGATTGTTACATAAGAAACACGTTTGTGTTTCAGTGGAAAGGTAAATCCAATAATTCACATTATCAAAATTTATTTGAATACTGCTGGGTAGCTTTGCTTCTTTGTCTCCTTTTATATAGAATTGCCGGCGAAGTGAAAGAATGTGTGTTCTTCCCAGCTTGGCAATACTCGCACGGATATCACTTATTTGAAAGACAATTTCGATGCCTTTGTTATGTAGCTGTTCGGTGATTATTTCATTAGGTATTATAGATTGAATATTCGAAACTACAACTCTTTTGTTGCTGCTAACATAAGGCTTGATTTTGAGGTTGTACTCTTTAACGGTGATAACTTTATTTTTTATTTGTTGCACGAGATCTTTACTTGATAAGTATACTATGTGACGTTTTTCGGAGACTCGTGATATGTAACAAACTTGGGATATTTCAACTAAGCTTTAAAGTCCGTCTAGGTAGTCATCATTGGTTAATCCTTCGATAGAGTCCATGATTATTGCTTCTTTCTTGGTGGGTTGAATTTGGCGTTCTGTTACATTGGCGTATGAGCTATGTAGTCCGGGAAAGTTGTTTGTATTTGAAGACATTTGTTGTTGTTGATCGGTATTTTCGTTGGCCATGATAGACACAATTATTGCTTTCAGCAGTCGAAACTGCTGAGCACAATAACACTTAAATTTTTACTTATCACTCTGAGCAATGCGCATAAGGGCGCTGTATTACACGTGTACGACAATTTTTCTTACACGCGCGGTAATACACACATACTATGAGGAAAGTAAACACGTCTGTTCGGGATAAGTCTCGAGCGACGACTGAAAATTTAAATTTTTGCGCACATTTCACGCTCGACCAATCACATGGCTGGATATCGGCTACTCATAAATTCTTTAAGAGAGAATGAAATAAAAGTCAAGATTAATTAATACATTGTATTCTATATATTCCTGTAGCGCAGGAATAGTATGTTTCAAACCAATAAGATATTGCTTAAAGATCTCACAGAATCTTTGAAGTAAATGGTTTTCGGGCAATTTTTATGTAACTTTGACAAACAATAATTCTGAACTATTAAATCAAAAGTCTCCATGGCACGAAATTCTAAAGTTCTTAGTTTACAGTATAGAGCTCCTCAGAATTGAAGATTTTACCGATGCCCTATAAATAGCGTACATGACATAAGTGGATTTCTTGTTGACATTTATATATATATATGGATAAATATATGAATGTATACCGTGAAATAAGAACTTTAGGGTTTCGTGAGACTTTTGTTCTATTAGTTCAGAATTCTTATTTTTCAGAATTACAAAAAATAAGCCGAAAACCAAAAGGATTCTGCGGGGCTTGTCTTGTATATATGCTTTTATATTATATTAAGAATTGTCAATAGAAATCGAATAATTATATGAAAAGGAACATATGAATAATTAAAATAGAAAATAACATTGTTTTTGTTTCAGCACTTCGACTGCAGGAATCATATAAGGGTAATTCAGCCAATGGAGAGTGGTAACAGACTTTATCTCTGCGGTACAAATGCTCACTCGCCTAAAGATTGGGTGATTTATGTAAGTATTTGAAAAGATAATAACGAGTATTTCAAATAAAATTGAAAATATTACAATAAAATGAGAAAGAAGTGAATTAATAAAATACAATGTAATCACTAACTTTGATCATCAACGTTTCATCAGCAATTTCACTAATCTCATCAGCTCACTTAGACGAATAGCAATGACTTACATTCTCAAGGTCAGATGTATATTTACTCCTCAAGTGAACAGCCTGATGAGGTCAGCGAAATTGCTGTTGAAACATTGTTGACCAAATTTAGTGACTAAAAGTTTATTTTATTCACTAACTTCTCCCCCGTTAAATCGTAATATTCTAAATTTTATTAAAAATATGGAGTGGATAAATTAGTATTTTTTATAGAAATCACGTGAAAATACTTTTTATATTGAACTATCCCCAGTAACAATTCTGGTATTGAACTTGCGATCACACTTCAGCTAAATTGTTGATAAATACTTAGAGATTTTTTTGTTTTTGATTGGAAAATTTATTTTATACTTTTTTTTTGCTTAAAGAAGATCCATCCAACGGTTTGTTATACGTCGAAAAATATTCATGGTTTATAATTTGCAAGAAAACTATATATTTACAAATGGTCTAGCCGGTTAAGATGGTCAAAAGTGCCCTCAACGATTTTGAAAAAGTGAGTAGATTAACTTATTTGGCATGAAAAATAACCAAGATTCCTAAATTTCCAGATCCCTAAACCCATATAGGGCCTTATAAGGCCCTATTTTGTGATTATCAATTTTTTTTACGATATCTCAGTCAGTTTAGAACTAGTAAACATTTTGAATTACAATAAACGATATCGTATTTAGCAGAAATAATGAACAATAACGACGAGATAAATTTGAGTTTTTGCAATACCTCCACGAATATTATTAAAATTCAAGTCAGATCGAGACACATTTCTCGACAAACTTACAATTGCTACATTAACTATAAGCCTAATACAATTGGCAGTACTGGAATCTTGCGCCATTATTGTGAATGTTCCAACGGCATGCGAACTATTGGCTGTTGCTCTCATGTGGCTGCGGTCATTTACGTATTACTTATCGTACGCAAGATACCTGTTCAAAAATTGTGAGACTTGCAAAAGAACTGACAGATTTATGAATGAGAACAGTTAATTCCTGTAATTTAAGAAGAAGGTAATGAATACTAAATCCAAAATTCAAGGCTAATAAATATTACATTTGAAAAAGCTAAAAGTAATTATTCATTTCATTACACTCTTCATATTATTATTAGTATGATAAATAAAAACAATCTTTCTTTACGGTATGTAAAATGATTATGTAAAATATATACAGTAAATTTTCACATTTTACGAATAAAGTTTGTGTAAAATATATACAATGGTTGTTTTAATTTTTTTGCATAAAAAAGAGAAAAAATGTGCTCCAAAATGTTAAAAATCCCAATCGGGGGTTATTCAAAAAAATAAAAGTAGTTATTGAAAAATTTTATACCTCTTAAAAGAAATAATTTTTCTATTCAATTGTCATACTGCATATTTTTGCAAATATTTGAAAAAAATCACTCTTATCTCACATAGTGGCAAAATCATTACATTAAAAAAAAATTTTTTATCTATCTTTATTAACTTTTGACTTAATTAATATTTTGACCTGAAAATTGCTACAGATGTTGATTATTATATATGAAATAATAAAACGAAATTTCAGAAAATCCCTTTCATGGTCATTTTTTGCAGGTTGAAGTAATTGCGGAATAGCAAGCTACACAGCAATACAAGCGGAAAATTGGGATTTTTTGTGATTTTTCGCTTCTGACACATCTTAGATTATATTACAAAAAAATAGAACCATCTTGTTCTACGATATAAAACACATCGAAAACATGTATCATGAGTTCGAAAGTAACTTTGGGTTACCTTTAAATGAAAAAGGCGAAAATGTCTACACCTGGAAGGAGCCGATCGATGTATAAGATTATCGTATTTGCTGATTTAGTAATGGGCTTGATTTATTTCCAAACATGTAATACCTGTTTTCGATGTGTTTTCCCCGCAGAAGACGATGGCATAGACGGTTTTCAGATAAGAAATTTTTTCGAACCGCTGCAGGCAAAATACTGAATTTCTTTTAGATTATTTTTTTTAAGATTGTTCCACCACTTCTATAAATCTAAAAAAATTCACAGATGTTTTGAAGCTAGAAATACATGATATATATTTTTTCCAAAGATGCATTTGGCTCTGTTTTTGAAAAATTAAATTTTTAAACTTTCGAACGCATGTAAAAATTTGAATTTCGCGCTAAAACTTTTTTTAATCAAACCATTTTTCAGGCTTACAAAACTTTAAAATTTGAAAAAGAAAATTTTTTCTAGCTCAAAACTGACTGAGATACCGTAGAAAAATTGGAAGTCACAAAATAGGGCCTTATAAGCCCCTATTTGGGTTTAGGAATCTGGAAACTTAGAAATTTTGATTATTTTTTATTTCAAAGAAGTTGGTCTACTCACTTTTTCAAAATCGTTGGAGGCACTTTTAACCATCTTAACCGGCTTAACCGTCTTTGATTGACTTGACCGGCTTCGACCATCTTAACGCGGAGGTTGCAAAGTCGGATTTAAACTCCTTGGTCATCGTCGGTTTATCAGTTGTTATAGTTATTAATTTCTGTATAGTTGAAATTAGTCTTATATTTGTTGGATTTTCTGTCTTGTTTTCCATTAATTTTGCAAACTTTTGATGATCGTTATCATAATCCAGTAATATTTGAAATAACGCGTTCTTATTTTTCAATTGTTGACTAGCAAAAGCATGGCGAATCCCTTTCTCGAAATGTTCACATAACTTTTCCATTAATTCTTCGGAATATTGTAACTCTAACTCTTTCGCGTACCATAGAATAGTCGTAACGTACCTTACTCTACTCAATTTACTGCCAAGATAGTACTGATCAAATTCAAATATTTTTCGCGTCTGACGTTGAATGTTTGAGTTCCAAAACCGCTCTTCAAACTCCAATTTAAATTGAGAATAGTCCATAATGTCATCTGCAATTATGTACCACAAATCTTTTGCCTTCCCTTCCAATCTTTAATTAATAAAATCAATACATTTATCATCTTGAATATTTTTTGAGAGATTTTATCAAGATCATTTAAAAATTTCACTGGCCTTTTTATTTCAGTACCTTTGAAAATAGGGATTGGTATTTTGATTTTTGATACCTTATCGAAACTTGAACTATTATTTAAAATGTTATGCGATTGATAATTCTGAATCATGTTTTTCATTTCAAATAACTTTTCTTCAAATTCATCACTATTTTCATTTATACATGTTTATAAATTTAATTTTACTTGTTGAATTAATTGATCTGTTTCATCCGAATCAAAAAATGTATAGAACTCTTGCTTTAATTTTTCGAATTTTAATTTTTTAACTTTAGTTCATCAGCTAACATTTAAAAACTGTCGCTCCATGTTTTCATTGTGTCAGACAACGCATCCAATTCATCCTTCCGAATATCACAATCATACTTTTTCGTTAATGATGTTATTTTCTCTAGATCATATGTTCATAAATTTAAAATGTTGTCTACCTTTCTCTCTGAATTATCTTGAGCCTGATACAATTCCATTAACTCATTAGCAATAGCTTCAATTGTTTCTATTTGCTTATTATTATATTTTACACTATCGTCTTCCACCAACACAGAGTGTAATTCTCTTGTTAATCTAAATCACTTTCTGTTATCAGCCATGATAATATATATCCAAAATAAAATAATAAAACTAATTCTAAGGCATAAAATAATAGAAAATAATTTTAATAATTTTAATATGGTATCGATAATTGTCTTGCACCAAATTTAAATAAGGAATATTCTATTTATTCTTCTAAACTTTCCAAATTTTTATCAATCCGCTTGAAAATAAATACCAAATCTTTCTGCAATTTCTCATTATCTCTATTCCATTTTTCTATTTCCGCTTTATTATCATTACTCTAGTTTTGAGCAACCGCTAACTCTAATTCTAATTGTCTAAAACGCTTACTTTTTTCGTTGACTGTACGAATCAATGTGTTTAATCTTGTTTGGTTATCAATTTGTAAACGACGATTTAGTCGTGAAACACTTTATGCAATAAATTTAGCTGTTGTTCGTTAACTCATCGGTACCGATTTTAAATGCCACTGTTGTGGAAATTTAAATGCCATGTCTATTTACTTCTGACTCTGTTACCAAAACAAGTCTATAAAATATCAAAGGTAAACAGAACACGCTGATATGCAAATTGGTAATCTATCTATCCAAGGGTATAAAGGTTTATTTGAAATTTCAATGTATTTTCTCTGTTGTCTTGTAGACTTAACCAAAAAAAAATATTCAAAACGATATCTATATTCATTACCAATTAATTTAATTACTTAAACTTAACGTAGCATCCATAATATCAAAATTCGCTTGTAATCATCAATCAATGACCGAATAATCTTAACAAACTTAATCCTTTCTCTTAATATAAATAATTTCGAATACAATATTTATCGTCGGATCCCTGTTCGGGCGTCAATTTGTGACACGTTATGTGAAGTTCGTAGACCCGACTTTATCGCAGAAAAGTACTCACTCAAGCTTACGGAAAGGAAATTATCGCCTCCTTCCTGTATTGGACACGCGCCTTGCATGCTTAACTCAGAAGATGAGTTCGATAATTTCCTTGATTTTATGAATGTGGCTCGTTGGAGAGATAAGCGCTCTGCGTATTCCTGTGGAGCTTAGTCTAGCTAACTCCCGTCTGGTCAAGGAAAGGGATCGGTATTTATCGGAGTCTTAGAATCTCAGCACAGTATCGACATCCGTGGAGATTTCCAAGGTTCATTCAGTTCGGAGGAACAAACGAGAGTGACTTGCCAAGCTCGCAATTTATATGAACTGCGTGTCGCTGCTCGACTCGAGATTTTCCAGTGGAGAGGGCATCCGTCTTTCATCTCTTCTCCTCTATC